TATTATATATATATATATATATTTTTTTCTTTCTTTATTTTATATATATATATATATTTTATTTGTTTATTATATATATATATATATATATATATATATTAAATGTAATAAATATAATAAAAAAATATATATATATAATATGTAAAATAAACATATATATTTTTATTTGTTTTGTACATATATATAATATATATATATATATATATATATATATATATATATATATATATATATGTAATAAACAAATAAAATATATATATATATATATATATATGTTTATTATACATATTATATATTTTTTTTTATTATATTTATTACATTTATTATATATATATATATTTATTATATTGTGTTTAAATCTGTACCTGCTTCTCAAACACACACACACACACACACACACACACACACTCTGCTGTGTTTTTCAGTTTCCCCATGGTGGCAGTCAGCATTGGGTTTGCTGTGAGGAAAGAGGTACGGTGATGCATTGATCAGTCACTCAGTATTATCACCTCTTCTTTCTCTGATGTCGTGTTTATTAATGTTTATAATATTTCCTGGCCGTCAGCTGGAGTTTGGTGTGATCTACCACTGTTTTGACGGGACGTTGTATACAGCCAGGAAAGGACACGGAGCCTTCTGCAACGGTGTTCGACTTCAGGTTTCAAAAGAGAAAGGTCAGAATTGTTCACCATATTTTAATAAAGTGTATATATACAATATTTCAATACAATTCATACAAAGACTATGTGTTTCTATATGGTTTAGTGGTTAGCATTGTCACCACACAGCAAGAAGGTCACTGGTTTGAGTCCCAGCTGTGTGGAGTTTGCATGTTCTCCCCGTGTTGGTGTGGGTTTCCTCCGAGTGCTCCGGTTTCCCCTAGTCCAAACACATGCGCTATTGATAAATTAGGTTAACTTATCAATTAAAATTAGCTAAATTGGCTGTAGTGTTTGTGTGTGAATGAGTGTGTATGTGTGTTTTCCAGTGCTGGGTTGCAGCTGGAAGGACATCCGGTGTGTAAAACATATGCTGGGGACTCAAAGCAGCAACCTTTTTGCTGTGAGGCCACAGTGCTAACCACTGTGCCACCGTGTCACACTCACTCCAGCCACTCATATATTAATATTGTTATTAATAATTACTTCGTCGTGTTTCATGTGTCCGTCAGACGTGTCGAAGGCTCTGATCCTCACAGAGATCGGGGCGAAGAGAGACTCAGCAACACTCGATATATTTCTAGGAAACATGAAGAAGATATTGAGCGCACCGACTCACGGGTACGTCCACTTTTAATGAATTACTGCCTAAATAGTGCACATGAGTGTAAAACCAGCTGTATTTTATATTGTTGTATATGATCTATGTTGATGTTGAATATTTAAGCAGGGTGCGAATTATACCTTGATGATCGGAGGAGGGGGGGAGGGTCGAGTTTTTCGATTCAGTTCGGTTGTATGCATCCGTGATTTATAAATTTCTATATTTAATTTAATTAAATCTCTTTTATTAATTAAGCTTGCCGTTATGTTGTCAGTGTTTTGATGGATATTGAGTGGTTCTCAAGGATATGTATGATATTAAATAAATGGTGACCAGTCTGCTTTCCTGCACCTCTTAATGGATGACCTAGAAATACTGCAGGCATTTTTTATTTTACTGTTTAACTTCCATGTGCGAACCAGTGTATAATAAAAAAAACTATGCATCTAGATTTACAGACACCTACAAACACCTTACTTTTACAGAAATCTGTTTGGTGAACACTTAAAGATTTGCAGATGAATGAATATTTCTGTCACAAACATGCATTCACAATGGTATGAACCGTTATAGGGGTGGTCAAATGTATATTGAAGTTATCTATTAATTTAATTATTAATATTATTTCAGATACAGATCAGAGCAAAGTATGTTTTAACTATTAAAGGGCAGACCCCCTATACATCTTGTTTTGATGTCCTTCAGGGGGTCAGACCCCCCAAACACCCTGTAATTCACACCCTGTATTTAAGATGTTGAATATAATTAATTCCTCTAATATTAGCATTCTTTATATTTCATAAGCTTTGCAATAACCCGATTCATAAATAATGATCTTTTCCTTTGCTGATATTAAGAGCCTTCCTTTTAAACTGAAATGTCTTCCTTTCACACTGAGTAGTTCATGCACATGAACATATGAAATGGCTTGCATATATGCATGCACACTACTAAATTGTGCATGTTTGTGAATTCTATTGTGCATGTTTGCACGAGTGTTATTTGGCTGTTTATGCATGCATCGAGTTCATTTTCACGTGCAAGAGATTATAGGTGCATATGCATAGATCAAGCTTATATGTGCACAGGTGTGTTTGCATGCGGTGGGTATATATGTATGTGGGTGTATATGCATAGATCAAGTTTATATGTAGCGAGAGTGCACAACCTGACAAAAGTCTTGTGGTGAGAGCAACACATAATAACTCGACTTCTAGTTGATCATTTGTAAAAGCGTCATGTCAGAGATGTATGGATGCAGTCCTCCAAGCTCATGATGGAGTCAGACACAATATTTATTCAGACTTTATATTCTATACTGGACATTATTTCTGTTCAGTGATGAGACTTTAGTCTGAGCAGAGTCAGACCGCACTGTCCTCATCAAATCAGTCAACATCAAGACATGATCAGATTTAATTGAGCTCAAATCAGCAAAATCTAGAGGCCTTCACCTTTCATAGAGACACTTCTGACACCAAATCATCAACTAGAAGTATGTATGTGAGTGTGTGTTGATTTAAATCCTCAGGGAATCTTTAATGGATGCTTTACAAATACACTGGAACTGAATAGTGTGTGTGTTTTGTGCTCAGCGTGCGGATCATCGGCAGCTCGACTCTCTCTCTCTGTCAGGTCGCCAGCGGGGCGGCGGAGGCGTATTATCAGTATGGTCTGCACTGCTGGGACATCGCAGCAGCCGCTGTCATCATCCGAGAGGCTGGAGGCTGTGTGATGGACACTACAGGTCAGAATACACACACACTTCCCAGATTAAACATTTAGGGACCCTACGCATAACTCTTAAAGAGGGCTTCCATCAGCGCATTAACTCTTTCCCTGCCAGCTGCCACTGATCAGTTCGTTCGCCAATCTGTATTCGGTAGGGGGATGAACACATGAATAAAATGCATTTTTGTTTGAAAGCAGAGGGATGGTTCTTTATCTTGATATATGATATGGTCAGATATTCCTTGCCGAAAATATTCTGAAGGCTTTCAAATTTAAATCATTAAAAACTATTGGCAGGGAAAGAGTTAAAGGGACAGTTCACCCAAAAATGAAAACTGACTTCCTATTTACTCTCCCTCAAGTGATCCCAAAGCTTTAAGGGTTTCTTTCTTCTGTTGAATACAATAGAAGATCTTCTGAAGAATGCTGGAAAACCTGTAACTATTGGGTTTCATTGTAGGAAAAGCACTATGGAAGTCAATGGTTACAGGTTTCCAACATTCTTCAAAATATCTGTGTTTAACAGCATCAGTAAAGCTTTGAAACAAGTGAGGTGTGAGTAATTAATGACAGAAGTTTCATTTTTCGGGTGCGTTTAAAGTCACTGTGAAATCAAACTAAAGATTTTAGGTGTAAGCTTCAATATGTTTATAAGTCTTAAGGATATCTACAATCTAGTGCGCTCCAAAACGGTGACAAAACATACATATATTTAGATGTTATAAACAATCAACTCTAGGTTTGTGTCTCTTTCAGCAAAATTAAGTGGCGTCACCTCATACTTTAGTCTCTCATCACCTCTTCTGACCAATCAAATGCTCTCTAGTGTTTAATAAGCCCCGCCCCCTTCAAGATTCTATTGCGGTCGCTGAAATAAGTCACTTTAAAGGGCACCTGATATGCATAAATCACTTTATAAGCAGTTTAAACCCAGTTGTGTGTCAGCAGTGTGTGAATATCTCCAGCCTCTAATGGTCAACATGTATTAATTGTGTTTGTTCTAATCAGACTTGATGAAAACAGTCTGCAGAAACACTTTGATTGACATTCTCCTGTTGTACGTGTCATCAGAGGGGTTAACTAAGCCCCGCCCACTAATGGCCCTCTCATTAGCATAGTACATTAGTCCTGTTTATGTATCTGCCACTATGCAGATTCACAGGTGTCTGTAACTCCGCCCTCTTCTGAAAAGAGCACCATCTCGTTTGCATTTAAAGCGACAGTCTCTGAAATATCTGCACACGTTATGGTGTTTATATGATGCAGAACAGTCAGAATCTTACACCCAGCACCTTTAAAGGAACACTTTTTTTGTACGAAGTATTTCAAAGTGGCTATAAATAGTAATCCTCTACATATAGTCGTTTCTCCTTTTATAAACCCACAGATTTAATCAGATGAAATCAGTCTGTGCTCTCTGTTGAACATGATTTCTGATTCATTATGTCAGATTGAAACACAAAGAGCTTTACAGCGGCGCAGTGCACTCATTACTGTTTAACTCTGAATATCACACATGAAGGTGTTGATAATAGTTCACATATCATCAGATATTATTATATAAATAGAGGACGTGTCTACTGTAGACAGTGTTAATACAGCTCAGTGTTTCCTGCTGGTTCTAATATACGGTATATTCTGCTGTGGGGAAAGAAAGGAAACACTTGAGATAAATCAGATTCTCTGGCTTATAGATTATAGTTTAAGTAAAATTAAAGTTTTGTTTTGTTCTGTAAACTACTGATGACGTTTCTAATACAAGGAAGATATATTCCTGTGGTTTAGAGCCTTTTATTTTCAAAAAAACTCAAACAAAATATACATGAAAAAATGTTTTTAAAATATGATCTAATAAACAAAATGATGAAAATAGAATAATAAAAATAAAACCAAATGAAGAAGAATGAAGTGGCTCAGTGTGTGTGTGTGTGTGTGTTTCAGGTGGTCCGCTAGACCTGATGTCCAGGCGTGTTGTGGCTGCAGGGACGCGTGAGATCGCTGAATATGTGGTCAAACAGCTGCAGCCCATAAACTACGGCAGAGATGACCTCTGACTGACCTCTGAGTGACCTCCGACCCCAACCTGAGCCTTTTACCTCAGAACACACACACACACACAATCCTGCCACGCCACTACTGCAATGTCCACACACACACACACAGACACTTACTTGCACATACACTTTCTCTCTCTCTCCCTCTCTCTCACACACACACACACACACACACATGTATACAAACACACTCTCTTATACACACACACTTTCTCACTCGCATATAAACACACACAGTAGTCACACACATGTAAACTCTCGCATACTAACACCTACACCCACACTCTCTCTCATACACACACACACACACTTTTTTACAGACACACACACACTCTCACATACATACATACATGCACTTTCTCTTTCACACATGCACACTCTCTCTCTTGCTCTCTCATAACCACACAGAAGCACGCATACACTCACACGTGCACACACATATACACACTCTCTCTCACGCACATACACAATTTCTCTTTTACACAGACACACACAAAAACAAACAAACAGAAACTGACTATACACACACGCACATACACACACTTTCTTTTTCACACACACACACACACACACACCCTCTGTCTCTCCCTCTCTCATACTAACTCTCACACACACACACACACACACACACACACTTCACTGTATGTTCCGCTGCTCCTTGAATCTGCTCATGGTCTCGGTTATTCACAGCCAGACAGAATCTGCAGATGTGATTTAATAATTATAAAGACTGACGAGGAGAGACTCAATAACAGCAAACAATCACCTCTGAACTAATGTCACGTTCACAATGCACATACAGTTACAGCCACTCGTTTAGTAGAGAGAGCTACAGCAGCGCTCCTATATGATATACACTCACCGGCCACTTTATTAGGTACAGCTGTCTAACTGCTCATTAACAGCAACAATTCTAATCAGCCAATCACATGGCAGCAGCTCACTGCATTTAGGCATGTAGACATGGTCAAGAGGATCTGCTGCAGGTCAAAGTGAGCATCAGAATGAGGAAGAAAGGGGATTTAAGAGACTCTGAACGTGGCATGGTTGTTGCTGCCAGACGGGCTGCTCTGAGTATTTCAGAAACTGCTGATCTACTGGGATTTTCACACACAACCATCTCTAGGGTTTACAGAGAATGCTTAGACAAAGAGGAAATATCCAGTGAGCGGCAGATCTGTGGGCGCAAATGCCTTGTTGATGAGGCCAGAGGTCAGAGGAGAATGGCCAGACTGGTTCCAGCTAATAGAAAGGCAACAGTAACTCAAATAAGCACTCGATACAACCGAGCTCTGCAGAAGAGCATCTCTGAACACACAACACGGCCAACCTTGAGGCGGATGGGCTACAGCAGCAGAAGAGCACACCGGGTGCCGCTCCTGTCAGCTAAGAACAGGAAACTGAGGCTACAATTCACACAGACTCACCAAAACTGGACAATAGAAGATTGGAGAAACGTTGCTGCTCTGATGAGTCTCCATTTCTGCTGACACATTCAGATGCTCGACTCAGACAACATGAAAGCATGGATCATCCTGCCTTGTATCAGCGGTTCAGGCTGGTTGTGGTGGTGTAATGGTGTGGGGGAGATTTTCTTTGGCTCCATTAGTACCAATTGAGCATCAACGCCACAGCCTACCTGAGTATTGCTGCTGACCATGTCCATCCCTTTATGAGCACAGTGTCTCCATCTTCTGATGGCTACTTCCAGCAGGATAACGCAGCATGTCATAAAGCTCAATCATCTCAGACTGCTGAACATGACGATGAGTTCACTGTACTCAAATGGCCTCCACAGTCACCAGAGCTCAATCCAATAAAGCAGCTCTGAGATGTGGTTGGGATTGGCATCATGGATGTGCAGCCGACAAATCTGCAGCAACTGTGTGATGCTATCATGACAACATGGAGCAAAATCTCTGCCATGAAGGATTAAGGGAGTTCTGAAGGCAAAAGGGGTCCAACCCGGTACTAGTGAGGTGTACCTAATAAAGTGGCCGGTGAGTGAAAGACAGAATATTACTTAACAAATAGTTTTGTAAACAAATCTTTAAATGTTAGCTTATTATTATATAATATATAGTACAATAATTTAATTTAAAACAGACTGAATAAATATATGCATTTACACACTTTACATCAGTAAAGAAAGGAGAGTTTGAGTCACTCTATTATATTCCAGTATTATATTCCTCAGGAATGACTTTCTCTGTGAGGAAAGTTGTTTTTACACTGAGATAACCCAGTATTACCTGTGTGTTCTGTAATCAAACACTGATAGAAATGTCATATTTACCCCTCAGACTTACTGTGATGAATGAGGGTCTCACGGTGGCGCAGTGGGTAGCACAATCACCTCACAGCAAGAAGGTCACTGGTTTGAGGGCTTGGCTGGGTCAGTTGGTGTTTCTGTGTGGAGTTTGCATGTTCTCCCCGTGTTGGTGTGGGTTTCCTCCAGGTGCTCCGGTTTCCCCCACAGTCATGCAAACTCCACACAGAAACACAGACTGACCCAGCCGGGACTCGAACTATCGACCTTCTTGCTGTGAGGCCAGTGTTTGCCATGTGTCGCCCCCTATTAAATATAATAAAACACATATTGAATTTAAATCTATTGGAAATGAATATATGCAGATGTAGGATGCTGAATTACACACAGAGCAGTGCAGTGATGTATACATCTGGTTAATATGTACAGTACATGTTGATCCTGATCATTTCTCACAGAAGTTGTTTAACCGAAAGCACCTAATAACTCATAAATCCATGATCTTGGCGTTATCACACACACACACACACACACACACACACACACACACACACACACACACACACACACACACACACTGACTGCAGTTTTAACCTGTATTTGACACTGTTATGTTTTTCTAATGCTGACTGACTGACGCACTGTAAGGAACACATGGAGAGGAGAGTTTTCACTGCCAGTTTTTATAGTTTCTCCTGCTGTGTTGAACTTCTCTCTTTAATCCCTGTGTTTGTATCAGGGCGGAAATCCTCTGGTGTGAAATATTAAAGCGGCATAAACACTCAAAGCAGCGCTGGACTGGCCTCATTCAGCTTATTTAATATTCTGTACTGTCAAGGGCAAAATTATTTGCCCTCCTGTGAAACTTATTTCATTTTAATTATCTCCCAAATGATGTTGAACAGATTCAGGAGTTGATGACAGTGTTTCCTCTAATGTTTGTTCTTCTGGAGAAAGTCTTGTTTGTTTAATTTGGGCTAGAATAAAAGCAGTTCTTAATAGTTTTAAAGCCATTTTAAGGTCAATATTATTCACCCCTTCAGCAATATTAGTGTTGGATTGTCTCCAGAACAAACCACTGTTATACAATGACTTGCCTAATTACCCTAACTTTACCCTAATTACCCTAGTGAAGCCTTTACATGTCACTTTAAGCTGAATACTAGTGTCTTGAAGAATATCTAGTCTAATATTACGTGCTGTCACCTCTGTTAAACAGAAATTGGGAGATAATTCAAATTAAAATTAATTCAAATTTGACTAGAGGGCTAATAATTCTGATGTGTGTGTGTGTGTGTGTGTGTGTGTGTGTGTGTGTGTGTGTGTGTGTGTGTGTGTGTGTGTGTGTAATGCATGTTTCTTAGGCTCAAGGTGCTATGAAATTAAAAAGAATAAGGTAAGAAGGAATATAAATAATAGATTACAGCACATAACAGCACTATCCTTCGCTTTATTCTTCATCAGGGCTCATACAAATACATATAGTCAGCAACCTTCTTCAGTGTGTCAAAACCTTTCATCAGAGTTCATTTAGTCATTTTCTTTTCGGCTTGGCCCCTTTATTAATCAGGGGTTACCATAGTGGAATGAACCTCCAACTATCCAACATATGTTTTATGCGGCGGATGCCCTTCCAGCTGCAACCCATCTCTGGGAAACTTTCATCAGAGTTGTCCTTAAATTAAATGTACCTGTTCTTGTCGTATCCTTAGGATAGATTTTACTACTTTTATTATAATCAATCCATTTCATATGTAAACTACTGTATATGTAAACAATCCCCGCAGAAAAACAAGAGTAGGCTTATAACATTTAACTCCGAAATACTTTGGATAAAAGCGTCTGCTAAATGACTAAATGTAAATGAAATGACCATTACATTTCATAAATGATTGCAAAGAAACTTAAAATAGCTGAATTACATGTTAAAACTAAAGTATTTCTTTGGTAACACAATCTTTAATTTATTTACGTCTTGGAAAAACATGTAGACATTAAATCCAAGTATGTAAAATGACTAAAATCACATTTAATCCAACAGATAAGATTGAAGGGTGAAATATTATTAGATATTTAGGTGGGCAGCAGGTGGCGCTGCAGCCGCTTTTATAATATTTGCTCAAACGTTACTCTTGAATATATGCAAAACTACATTACTTGAGTTTTGTTATAACAAAAATTAAAAGTATAAATAACAGCCTTTGAAAAAAATAAGTGAAAATAAACAAAATAATTATGTATTTTATTGTTCGTTTTTACGTATCTTTTTGTTTAAAGTAATTTAGTTTTTTGGTTGCAAATGAAATATGTTTTATTAATTGTTGTGACGCCAAGTGACAACATGCTATTTTTTTTTAACAAGAAACAACTGTTCATTGACATACAAGAATTTCACGGGAACATGATTTTTCCATTTACATTTTTTTTATTAAATATATTTTACAATATTAGTATATGTGCTAAAAAAATCATATCAAGTAAAAACTAAATTCGTTTAAATATATTCATATTCATATATATATATATATATTCATATATATAGCCTACAGATAATATTTTTTCAATATCTCTTGGATGGATAGATAAAACTTATCTGATTATGTAATATATTTAATTAGATGGATGGATAAAGATATTATTTTGTTATTTATTTATTTGATACATTAAATTTAGTTAGTTTAAAATTATACTCTTAAAAAAGTAAAACATAACAGCTCGTATTTTCACAATACTTTATCTAGAAAGTAATTCACAGTTACTTAAACGTGATTTAAGTTTGTAATATATTATGTAATGTTTAAATTTAGCCCAAATAAATTGTTTTCAAAGTCTCACCTCCATAGGGAAATTGTAAATACAATGATTTTTTTTAAATGTAGAAGGACGGAGGGATGTAGGTTTATAATATATTACATTTTCCCAAAACTGAAGCCGTGACAGCAACCGCCGTTATTCCAAGAGTTTTAGTGTGCGCGCGCGCTTTCTAGTTAGTTGTGTTTTCCACGTGTGTGTGCGCGCACTGAAAATAATAATTGAACAATTATTCGTTGAATAGTTGAACAATACTAAAGTGAATTAGATTAAATTCAGCACAGAAATCGTTTGCAAACACTTACCTTAAAAAGTCAATCCAATGAAGGCTTTTTTTCAGTGTGTGTGTAAAATGTACCTGAGCCTCCACCCTCTCTCTCTCCGCTGCTCTCCCCGGGGCAGGGCTCTGTGCGCCGGCTTGTGACTGGTGGAGCGCCGCGTCAGAAGTTTTTCAGGGTGGTCCTTCAAGCCTGTTCATTGAGGAGCTGCAAAACTAAGTCCAGATGCTAGTAAGACACAGCTGTGCTTCAACACAATAACACAACTCCAAAAACTCCACAAAGCCCGGCTAAATCACGCTTTATAAGCGGCTTCTGGAGCTCCAGGCACTGGGGAACGGGCTATGTGTCGCCGCCGGAGAACCAACACTCCCGCAGGGTATGAATAGTGGACATTAAACCGCTGTTTTTTCCGGAGGAGAAGCAACATGGTGTCTCCTGTCAACAGGTAAAGACGAGATCTGAACTCTGGAGAAGTGAAACATGTGTGAACGCAAGTGAAGCCGCTGATCCGGATTATCTGGAGCTCCAGGCTCTGCCCGGCCGGAGGATCATGATCTGCGGTTCATTGGGTTTCTGATCCCGGTGTGAGTGAAATGATGATGGC